CAACTTGTAACTCAAACATTTCATATTTCATGTTTTATTGTCCGATCAGTTCGTAATTTATTAAATATTATGTTACCAGGCTGTCTGATCTATGTTTTTAGTGCGAATAAAACTACATTATTCCACTTTCTGGCCCAACGTTTCGCTAAAACATTTTTAGCATCTTCAGGGGCAATCCCAGCTTTATTAAATCTGCCACAAACCAAAAATACAAAGGCTCATTGTAATTAAAAATTAATGAATATAGCATACAAACATACATATACATATATGGAATTAAAAATTATAAACAACAATTTGAGGACAAAAAACTCACAATGTTTACGAACTTTGATTAACACCTAAATACAGCGCATCTGTACCATCTTTTGTGGTAGCTTTGTCAATACTAAAATAATAAACATTTTTATTTCTAATCATAAACAAGAAATGTAAGCGGCCGCAATGTTGTCCGTATCTTCTTTTCTGTTCATTGTCTTTTTCCTTCTTTGCATTATCCTAAGGCTTTCTAGTGTATATCGGGTTGACTCCCTTCTTTCTTTGTCGATAATCTTTGTGTTTGCGAAATCAGCTGTATGTCCACTTGTTATGATGTGTTGTGATAATGCTGTACTGCTTTTTTGTTTTCTTATATCTGCTTCATGTTCGCCTAGTCTAACACCTAAAGGCCGCTTAGTTGTCCCAATATACACTTTTTCGCATTCCTCAATTTCATTTCCCTTACATTTAATTTCATACACTACATTGTTTTGTTGTTGGATATCTACTGAGCACTTAGTTTTTGTGTATATTGACGACAGAGTGTAATTAGATTTGTAGGCAAGTGCTGTGTTTTGTGATTTCGTTATGCTGTGACCAAAATTGCCAGTTAAGTTGGGAAGTGCCCAACTATAATTATCTAACATCTGCAAGACTATTTTTTGTTAATGCTATTCGCACCTGGAACTCGATTCCATCTCATATTCGTAATAGTTTGAACATAAGCAACTTTAAGAGTGTTTTGTATTCTTATTTTCGTTAAATGCTATTTCATATCCAAAGTTATACCCTTTCCTCTGAGGCTCGCTATCTAGTTAGGTGTAGGGTAGTCAATACATTATTCGTATGTTTTTCCTTATGCTCCACCTGTGATTCTCTATAGAGTTTTGTAAGTTTTTGTTGTTCCTGTTTTTGACTTATATATTACTTAATTTTAAACATTTACATATTGTAATTCTTTATTATAAGTTACAGTTGTACTATAAAAGATCATTGGGATCTTATTGTGCTAATGTTATATTTTATAATAAATGAAATGAAATGAAATTACTGCGAAATTCTGTTCAACTAATTTGAATTATGACATCGACAGGGGTGCTTTGAAACGTATCGTTTGAACAAAAATTCTTGAGATTGCGCCGTTAGAATAAAAACTAAGCAATTGATTTTTCTTAAAATTTCAGACCTTTTACAATTTTAAGAAAGAGCAATTGCCTAGTTTTTATTCATAAGGCACATTATGGCATTTATTATGGGCCTTATTATGAGTTGCATTCGATTTTCGATCTTCACTGGCTATCGAAGATCGAAAGTGAAATTCGTATTATGAGCTATGCAAGCGTGTCGAAATTTTCGTTGAATATCGAATTTTCTGTCGGAACAGAATTTTGCTTTCGTTGGTGTATCGATCGAAGTGTTAGAAAATTTAAAAAATTGTATGATTTTGCATTTGTTTTCTTACTTTTTGGCACCTAGACACTAATTTTAAACAATTTTCATTAATTTCATGCAGTTCTAACGTCGTGAATACTAAACATACGCTCGAAAGTCTGGTTTTACTTATGAAAGAAAATCCCAATACGCTGTTGGCACGATCTCTGAGAACAAAATCATGGAGCTGTTTATATTTTTAATATATTTTTATAATAGATTTGGATCATACAATTTCTTAAATATATTGTACGTCAAAATATATTCGAAAGACTGCACTTAAACTCCCTTAAACGTTTTCTGCTCCTGGCCAGTTTTCTAAGCTCTCATCCTCTAACGAATCGTTGAAGCAGAACTCCGTTGTACGAATTTTTACTACGTTTTTATAAACTCTGTTTCTTTATTATTTCAATTTAATTTGCACAAATTTACATATGTACATATGTATAAGCACACCATTTAGTTTGCTCGATTTGTAAACAGTGCTTCTCAGCGGTGAAAATATACTATTGTGAACAACCTAAACGAAATTCACAATAGTGCTGTTCTTCATCGAATGAGCGCCATAATACCAAATGAAAATTCGTTCGATCAGCACTTTCGACCAAAGTCAAAGATCGAATGCAACTCAAAATAGGGGCGTATTTTAGAAATAAAAAAGTTAGTTTACATTAAAAAATTAATGTAGACCAAAAGTATGTAATCAACCATTTTAAGGAATTGAAACGGATTTGAAGTATATATATTCATAACTACCATTAATAGTAGTATGATAGTTAGACCAACATGCATATTGGGCATATGACGAATGTAAATAATGATTAAAATTTAAAAACTAATTGACACAACTAAAGTAAAATCTGGAAAATTAACAATAAAATCCTTTTTTCGCAAAATCTGTAAAGGACCTTTTTATTTCTCGAAAAAACCTGGGTAACAGTTATTCGTCGCCGCGCTGTATATTCATAACTACCATTAATAGTAGTATGATGGTTAGACCAACATGCATATTGGGCATATGAGTTTTTTTAGAGAATTTTACATATGTACATACCCCTACAAAATGAAAAAATAGGAAACCAACATTAGTAATTTTTATTTTTGGTTTGAATCTGCTGTGGGACTCTGACAATCGCCACCGTCGTCGTTTTAGCCCTTTGGTGGCTAGATTTAGCTCCCACATACTTTTTTTGGCCACATAAATTTAAAATTACCCCTAGCCCCTTTTTAGCCCTTTGGAAAAATCATTCATCCTTGGCATGAAAAAACTGTATATGCTTCATTTAATATCGTTTTTTTTCATTTATGAATAAGATGAATTTTTGAACTAAGAAAGACTGATAGATAGATATACGCATATTAACGAAAGAAAATTTCGAAAAGTGATAAACATGAAAAAGGATAGGTTCACGCAAAGTTATGTTAAAATATTACACTCAAAATTGAATTTGACATTGCTCTCGGAAGAACCATCCTTTAGAGCATGGTACAATAATTACAGGTATTGTCTTCCCAGAGTTTTGCTTCACGTCGATACTCGTGCTCCCTTATTTTCATTTTGACGCAGTTCAATGTTGATTCTTTTAGTTTTATTTGGCTTTGCGTTTTGTTTTCGCTCAATTTCATTTTTATAATTTTTAAAAACAAAGGAAAAAACGGTTGAAATTAAGTGAGCCACAAAAATTTTTAATTTATTTACTAAGCAAATGTTTTTTTTTCGGCTTTTACAAATCAAATAAGTCCTCTCCAAGAAGGTTTGTTAAAAAAAATACGTGTACATATCGTCGGTCCTTACGAAGAGTAGCACATTTCACTATTCGCGTGGAAGATTAGCACATTTCACTATTAGCGTGGAAGACAAGCACTTTTCATTCAGCCATATTCTGCATTTCGATTACGTTCCCGCATTCCGCTCCGCTGGAATCGAACTTAGGTATTCTGCGTTACGATCGAAACGAAAGAAGAAGAGGAAGAGAGAAAACATCTTTCGAAATCAGCTGTTTGCCTAGGAATGTGTGAAATCGAAACAAAACAAAGAAATATTTGCCACCAAACTATAGCAGCATATGAAGTTAAAGTTTGTAAATATTTTTAAATAACTAAATATACCTAGCATCACTGTAATTTAAAAATAAAATTTAAGTGGATGCATAATTATAAGAATGAAATCCATAGCCGCGGCGTTATTGCTTGAAGAGAAGAACGAGTCCCAGATTGCTGATGCGGAAGGTGAAAGGCGGAGATTTAGGGACATGTTTGTTCTTTTTCAGATGAGTGAAGGGTCATAAGGAATTCATCTTGAACTATATTACTCATCGCTTAAAGTCAGTGAAATTATAAACGTTGTTTGAGCACTCCACAACATTTGCATTTACTACAGAGTGGAAGATTTGAACGCAAATGAATCCCATTTTGAAAGCCGTCAGAGGAGGGAAAGAACAAAGCTTATCTTTCCATAGCAAATTGAATTCGAGACAACATATGCACCTTTTTTTAAAAAGTTAGTAAAAATGAGTGCAATAATAAAATCATCTTTTTTATGTAACTTCACATTTTATCTATGTATGTATCTATGTGCATACATCTATTAATTTTATATAAAAAGAATAAATTGTATTCAGTGCATTTCACAGTCTTATTTATAGATAATGTAAACAAAAACGCCTG